ATAGATAGATAGATAGATAGATAGATAGATAGATAGATAGATAGATAAAATTTATAAGAAAGAAAGAAGACAGTGTGGGAAGGATGGAAAAAAATGTTGCTGGAGGTAACAGACATTTTATTTGGTGTATGGTAAATAAGAATGAACATTATCCGCCAAGTGTTTCAGATTTCTTTAGGTAAAAAGATTTCTTCTTGGTAAAAAGTGTTTTCTGTGATAGAAGAGGAAAAGGAAAATAAAACAGCCTATAGAGCCTCACTTTGGCCAGGTGAGCTGGTATACACTTTGAAGGCTGAGACAGGAAATGCTGCAGTTTGGAGACCAGCTACGGCTACAGAACAAATACATAAGAAATATCTGTCCAGCCAAGCTAACCGAACAAGGTCCTGTCTCTACAAACACAAAAGATAGCATCTCATTTTCATGGTTTTTAAGGCTTCATACCTCTGTACTGTAATCACTGGTTAAATAGGGTAACTATGGGCCTGTAACTATGGGCCTAGAGCTATGGTTGCGTTGTTGCAGTGTTTGCTCAAGCACGAGGACCGGAGTTCGGATCTCCAGCACCAAAGTGACGTGGTGAGGCTCACCTAACCTTACTTCTGGGAAAGTGAGGACAAAAGGATCCCTGCAGCTTACTGCACAACTAGTGTTAGCACACATACAGTCCTTCAGGGGCCTTTCAGGGCCCTAGCAACTTCTGAGGTCATCAGCTGCCATGGCAAGGACCCTACCAGCCTCCCTAGCTCTTTCTCTCTTACACTCTCCCCAGGTTTCACTCTCTCTGTTTCTGTGTCTCTCCTCTCTCTTTCCTCTCCCCCTTTCCCACAATAAACCTCCCTTACACCAGATCTGTTGCCTGGCATGTTAACATTGGGGGAGGGGCACTCTCCCATTGTCTTGGCCAACTGGGATCCCTTCTATGCCCACCCACAATAGATTTGTTTTCTGGTCCACTGATGGCTACATTCCCACATACAGCGCTGGTCACCATGAACAGCAGTGGCAGGCTGTTTTCACCGACTCTTGTTCAGACTGTTTCCTTGATATTCTCTTCTACCAGCAGTTTCCTCTCTCTCTAGCACTAGGTCGAATGGGTGTCCCCATTCGGACCTCTAAGCTCCCCATCTTGATGCTCTCTGGAGAACCTCACACCCCTACACCTGGCTTCTAAGTTGCCAGATTACACTGCCCACGTGATGGGGGTGGGAGGGGGGTTGTGAACCACCAACCCCTGTCCCGTTCCTGTCTGGTTGCTCTGCTAAGCTGTGTTTGCAGTGGGTCAGCGCTGGATGGGAGCACCCAGGCTACAACAGTCCTGCTCCCTCTGACAGCTGCTCCAAGGCAAACAACTTCCTCAAGAGCAATCCTGAAGTATGTGCGGACCGCTTGTCTGTTAATCCAGTTCTAAATTCTACTCAGAGTCCAGTCCCTCCACATGGCTCTGGCTCTCAATTTCTCCATCCACCTGGACCCCACCGCCACTGGCTCCTCCCCCCTTCCTGAAGCCACATTGCAAGCACGCACTCCCTTCTTCACTCTCTGCTACAAAAACCTGGCCGCACTCAAAGGACAAAAAAAAAAAAAAAAAAAAGGCGCACACCAAATACCTACACTCTGCTTTATGCTCCCAAAGCCGCTCATCTCTGAGGCTCTACCTCCCGACTCTTAAAAATCTTTTCTCTCTGTTCTCTTTACACTCCACTCTCAAAAGAAAAATACGTATCTTAAGATTGTACTGTGAACTCTTATCTAAGGATTTATAATTTGCTTATTGGGCATGGCGTTTAAAATCCAAGTTCAACTCTTGTTTAGGACGTAAGTATGTGATTGTATGTGCATGTAAGCAGCCATGTGGACCGTGGACCGCATGGCTTACAACCTGCCACATGGCCCACCATCTTAAGATGACCATGTGGCATAAAGCACCAATTAGAAAGCCTCTTAGTTCTAGTGAACTCTCTATTTATTATTTTACCTTCTTTTAGACTAAGAAAGAAAAAAAAAATCTCATTTTAAATTGGTCTATATCTTTATAGAAACTCAAAGTTACACTTTTTACAACATATTGTATGTGTGATTCAATCCTGGTTCAAAATGTTCTTTATGTGATGGCGAACTTTCAAGGTTATAATGTCTATTCAGATTAACAAGCTAATTTAAAGTACACATCTAACTACTTCTGTCTTTGCTAGTTCTTGCTGCATACATGAATCAGGTGTTTCTTTCTCTTGCCACCAGCTGCCTGTGCTCAGGGTTTACCACTAGGCTTTCTGGCCAATGGATTTGGTATAATAAATTCAACTGCAATTTTAAAATTGTTTTGTACTGTGCTACTGTATTGCTGACTCTAGAAATAGGTTATTCACCCTTTCACAGACCCAGCTATGTTTTTAAGGTCCAGGGTCAAAAACAGGATATGGTGTTACTAGGGTTAGTAGTTAAAAGCTTGTGCTTAGGTAATTTTAAACCATATATGATTCCAAAGATACTTTTGAGTTGGGATATATCTATTCTAGAGACATTTGCTTGTTTACAATGTTAGCACTTAGTTTTTATGCCCTGTCTTCACTCTCAAAAATCACTGCCTTAAAAATGTGTTTGGCCTCCATCACCTGTACCAAGCCCAGGGGAACACTGCAGGTCTATTTTAACCTCACACTCAGGTCTCGTGGTCACATTGCCAGCTTCTGTCATGGGAGTGGACAAAACCTTCCTCTTTTCCATCTAAGATCCTGCCTTTTATCTCAGGCCTCGGATGGGTTTAAAGGATAGTTAGTGAAAGATTTATCAGTATAACAGCAGAATACAAGGCTTCAGATGCCTTCTCAGTCTTCGTGTGTAAAAATCAGGCCTTAAGCCTTATGCATAGGGATGTTCTAGGCCTGCACACAGTCTGCCTTGTTACCATACTCAGAAAAACAGGCCTCAGATGTGACTTTTTACTATCCCTTTAACTAAAGGACAATGACGGCGCCCAACAGTCTCACCTGTGTCTCATGGTAAATAATTGGATAGGAAGAAAGATGTAAAGCTTACATAAGGCCTAAGAATGTAGATGCTTAAGTTGGGAGGACCTTAGAAAATATTTTAAGGTCTAAGGAGGTGTTTTAAGGCTAACAAATACAAATGAAAGCCTAGATGGGTATAAGAAGGTGATTTAAGGTATCCAAAAACTAAAAATCACTTCAGATTTCTTCCTGTTGTTATGTTACTGTTGTATTAAGACTATTCAGAGCTCTGACATTAATCAGTGGAGCTCTGATTTATTAACCTAACTCTGGTAGAACATTCCACTATATAATCCACTATCATAGTTCCCAGCTCAAGATTTTAAAATTCCTTTGGTTTATCTCTTAAGTATAGACTTTAAAATGTTTCTCATTGTACTACATTTTTTTCTTTATTTTTTAATGTTAATGAGGTAGAAGCTTAGAGGTGTTACAGTTATTCATGGGTTTTCATGGGGTAAGAAAGTCAAGCCAGTGTGCTGGTAAGCTGAGATCTTATAGATGGCCACCGTGTGGTTGCAGGGAACTGAACTCAGGACATTAGGAAGAACAGCCAGTGCTCTTAATCTCTGAGCCATCTCTCCAGCCCTCACTGTACTAAATTTATACACATCCAGCCTTCTGGATAGAGGGAAGAAGTCCCTCTTTCATGACAAGTAACCATACTGAAAATCAAGATCAAGTGAGCTTTTGCCCCTTCTACTTCGTGGAAGGCTTCTTGTCTTTCCTGAGCTCACCTCAAATAGTGTTCGTGTGTTAACACAGAGATGTGTGTTTATCGCCCTTTTCAACAATATGTGTTTTCACTGCAGATCACAAACAATGGTGATGCTGACATGTTTAAAAGTCATCTTCTTTGTAAACTAAAAAGGATTCTTGTAAGCTACAGGAAATCCAAATGAACTCCAGATAAGTACTGCCACTCAAAAGCCCAAGTTTCCCACCTGTTGCCTATTGCAGAAGGTGGGATTCCTCCCCACATCCCTAGTTTGGGGACCTCCCCCCAGTTCCAAAACCATGGGTCCAAAAGTTTCAAATGTGCACCTACAAGAAAAAAAAAAAATTTCTTCCTAACCTACTTAACTTTGTCTTCTGCCCATATATGTGTTCCAGCAGCCTGGCAAGTCCAGGTGTTTCCTACATCCATGACAGCACCAAAACAGCTGCTCACAGGTGCACCAGTCTAACCTCGCAGGCTGAGTCAGCCGGACCTGCGTTTTCCTTCCTAACCAGCAGATGTTCTCACAGATCCTGGACAGCAGTAAAACAGCCAGTTCTCCCCGGACTTCACCAGCCCCGCCCCCCATTCTCTTCAGATCCCTGGAGATGTCACCACCCTGAAGTCAGCAGGAAGCAGCCTTTTTTTAACACAACATCCTCATCCCCTCCCCACCCCACCCCTTAACTTTTAATTTTTTAAATTAAACCAAAAGGGAGGAATGTTAGCATACAGGTGGTCCCTCTGGCCCACCATCAGGGGTCTTTCAGGGGTCTTTCAGGAGCCTAGCAGCCTCTGACATCATCACCTGCTTCACCTGGTGTGCACCAGGCGTGTACCTGATAAGAGGACCCTGCCAGCCGCTCCAGGTCTTTCCCTCTTACACTTTCTCTCAGTTTCACTCACTCTCTCTGTGTCTCTCTGTCATGGCTGTTCCCTCCTCTCCATCCCCACGTCCCACAATAAACCTCCTTTTTCCAGTTCTGTTGCGTGGCCTAAGAATAATTAATCATTATTATAACAGCTAGTCTAGCTGAATCAAGCAGCTCCAGGTTCAGAGAGAGACCCCACCTCAAAAAATAAGGTGGAGAGGTAGACAGGAAGACATTTTGCCTCCACAGACAAGAGCTAGCACCTGCACATACATACCAACAGACAGGCATGCATATACCATACACAAAAATTAATTTGAATTTCATAAACTTCTTAATAGATAGTATTATACCTTTTTCAACACATGGTATTCCTCTCTGAGAATGAAGCACAGGAATATTATTGGGCTGATAAATTATGCTTTAGACAACATTTTACATAATTTTTATATAATTATATGTAAATTATATGAAAGTTAGATACTAGCATGAGTCATAAAATTCTTTATAGTACAGAACCGTCTCTTAAATAAGATTTTCCCTTATATGATCAGAATTCTGCTGAGTAAAATAGATATTGATTTCTTCAATGTTTAAGTTATATTGAAGAACTTTTAAAATAAATATTATATTGACAAGCGAACTTGATCACATTTCGGCCACACCTTACTGATCATAAATAGCATGTATGAAATAAGATGTCTAATAAAAACATAGAGAAAATCCCTAGTTCAGCATTTGTCCCATATCTTATGCTGATCTCCACAGTCCCTTCATCTTTCATCTTTCTTGAAGACTGTGCTTTCACACATTGTTGGAACACGATGTTGGGTTTTCAAGGATTCAGACCACTTGCATGTCATTTTCACAAGCATTTGAGGGTGAGGAAACAGGAGCCAGCCAGGTAAGCAAAAACAACTGCTCTCAGGTCAAGCAGGAATGAGGTACATAACTGGGAGTCCAGCCAGACATTATCAGCCAAGTTGACCTCAGGCCCTCCCTGCCAGCCTCACCAGCAGCCATCTTCACATGGGTTCTGTCACTTGTCCGGGTAAACCTTTCTAGCTAGTGTGCTTTTGTCATCTTTGCTGAAATTGATATAGACGATCTATGATTCAAACTTTGTCAGTCAATCAAAATGGGAGAATTAGTACTTTGTGTTTGCTGTTCTTTTTCTCAGCTCAATTTGTGTTGGGTTTTTTTCAGCATTAGCCTTAGGGAAAATCTGAACTGCCTGATAGCCACCAACTGGCCCCAGCCAGGGCCAGCAAATCCAAAACTGACTGAAATAAGAAGCTGCCTGGTGTAACTGAGGAGTCATTCAGAGTACTCTGAGGATGGGCAGTGAGTGGACAGACAGTGAAGAGTGAAGGAGGGAGTTTTGTCTTCAGTTTTAGTTGTAGTTTTTACTTTGAAACAGAATCTCAAATAGCTCAGGTTGACCTCAAGCTCAGCTAGTAGCTGAAGATAACCTTGAATTCTGATCCTCCTCTCCACCTTTTAGAGATTATAGCCACTCACCACCACACCCAACTGAAGAATGAAGATAAAAAGGGTCAAAGTGCAGCCGAGTCACACAGAAAGCAAAGCTATTGTCCTTTAACGGAAGGGGTGATCTTAGACATCCAGGTTGAATAGAAAAGTCTGCCTTCACTTGTTTGAGGATAAAGATATGTGGGGGTCTGTGAAACCCCAAAAAGGCTGAGGGCAGTCACCATGCTGACACTTATGTATCTAGTGGATAAAAATAAGGACGTGACCGCTCCAAGGTCTGGTTGAGGAGAAGGGCTTATTGTTATTTATTAGAATGGAAGTCCATGGCTGCTTCCATGCTAGTGAGGGTATCAGCCACCTTGGAGGCTCACCACGTGGTTGCTATTTAAAACATCTGTTTTCCCAAACAAGAGTAGAATTCAAGTTGCATGTATAGTAAGTAGATCTAGTTTTCTAAGTGAGAGTTGAATCACACATAGCAAATTAAGAGTCAACCTTTTGTTAGAAGTTTTAAAATAACTTTGTTACAGATTTGCAAATTCTTTAACCACACCCAATGAATTTATAAATATTTAGGTAAAGAGTGCCTTTGCTATACATGTGTGTGTGTATTATTTATTTATTTATTACAATTTATTCGCTGTGTATCCCCACTGCAGCCCCCTCCCTCACCTCCTCCCAGTCTCACCCACCTTCCCTCTTCTTCCCCTATGCCCTTTCCCTAGTCCCCTGATAGGGAAGAACCTTCTCCCCTTCTATCTGACCCTAGCTTATCAGGTTTTATCAAGGCTGCATCAGAGGACTGAGAAATTATAGTGATAACGGACTTAGAACAGAGAACATTGAGATATAAGTATAGAACAGAGGAAATTGAGACGTAAGTGTAGAGGTGACCTTCATTCACTTTGTGTTAGAGTATGTCTCTGTATATTCGATTGCTAATTGTGGTAACCTAAATGCTAACAGATTCTGATATTGTTGTTACTATGGAGGAATCTCCTGTCTCAGTGTTGTGTAAACATTATTCCCCAATTATCTCTGATTGGTTAATAAAAAAAAAAAAAAAAAACAAAAACTGAAGAGCCTATGACTGGGCAGAGGAGATAGTAGGTCAGACTTCCATTCCCAGTCTGGGGGTCGCAAGCAGAGGATGGGGAGAAGGAGTTCACTTGGCCATGAGATGTCACCAGGAGGAAAAAGATGGAGCACAGGCAGCCAGGGTGAGAGTAGAGGACAGGTAACAGGGCACATGGTCGGGAAGTAGGCCAGGCCAGCCTACTTGAGTTAGAATAGATCAATATCTGCCCAATTATGGTGCTTGAAGCTTATTAAAAACATAACAGATCTCTGTCATATTTGAGAGCTAGACTGGACATAAAAAAAAGCCATTAATTGCAACATATATGAGATTTGGGGAACATTTGTTTGTGCAGTGGCAGAAGTTGTTACCGTATGAGAGATTTGAAAATCAAGTGATTGGGGTGTATTGAGGCCAAGTCATTTGCAGAAGACAGCAAGGCTCTAATAAAACCTGAGTCCCAGAAAAAAAGAAAAAGGCTCAGGTCAGTGTAAGGAAACCCCAGAAGCTCAAAAGGAATCTATGAGACTTGGCAGGCAGTTCTTAGGGGGAGATTAGAAGAAAGAACTAAAGGCCCAGGAAGTCAGAGAGACAGAGACAGAGAGAACAGGTAGCTTTGAGGAGAAGGAGGTAAGGAAAGGGTCATAGGCCCAGAAGCGCTCAAGGAAGCCATGGAACTGCCACTCCCATGGGGAGGTGGGGAAGCTCCAGGAAGAAGCTAAGAACAAAGGGAAGAGAAGGGGTAAGTGTTGTGGTGACAAGAATTTCAATACAGGGCATCCCCAAAAGGAATGAGACTTGTCAAGGAGAAATGTCCCAAATCACAGGGGGGAGTCGTACCTTTCCATGTGATAGAGTCGTACCTTTCCATGTGATAGGAACCCAATAGAGTGAGAGGAACATCTTGCCACACCAGTGTGGCTTTCATAATAATAGCAGACAAAGCAGGCAGCTCCAGGGTGACACTTAGTTGGTAGAGGAGAGAGCAGGTAGAAGTGAGAATTGCTGAAGAGGTGGACTGGGAGGGGCATTTGGGGAAGGGAAGGGTTCCAATAGAGGCAGGGGAATAAGTGTCTTTAGCAGAGAGATATGTCCCCACCATGGTGCAGCCTTTGAGAGGGTAGTAGGTTCCAGAAGCCTAAAGAGAGGACTTATAAGCAGGCTAGGAGAGACAGAGACAGGTGGAGGGAAGTGGCTGAAGAGGTGGACTCTAGACTTTGGAATATGGTGGTTGGCAAACAGAAACATGATCCATACATACCTTGGGAAAGTCAGATCAGCAGCTTGGTTCGGAGATGCTGAGTCTTTTGGAAAGGCATTTTTATATACCACTCCTGGGGTTCAGTGCCTGATGGATGAAAATGAGGACATGACTGCTCCAAGGTATAATAGTTGAGGGACCATGAGTACTGAGTGAGAACTGTCCCAGGTTTCTTTGAGACCTTGTACCCAGATACACAGGGCACCTCAGACATAGCACTTGGCACCTGAACAGCTCAAATGTAAAGAAAATATCTTTTAAACATGGCTTCTTTATAGAAATACAATATCCTCATTGCTAGACCTACTGCAAATTCAAACTGGTTAATCTTGAGATCTCTGAAAGATATCTCTCTTCTTGTTTACCTTGTTAAAAGGGAAAACCAAAAAAAATATTTCTTGAGTTTAAGATTTATTTATTTATTACATTTGCAATGTTCTGTCTGCATGTGTGCCTGCACGTCAGAAAGCTCCAGATCTCATTACAGATGGTTGGGAGCCACCATGTCCTTGCTAGAAATTGAACTCGGGGCCTCTGGAAGAGCAGACAGTGCTCTTAACCTCTGAGCCATCCATTAACCTCTGAAACCACCCCATCGTTTCCTTTTTAAAAGACAGTTTCCTTTGAACACAGTTTGATGCTGTGCAGCAGTATCTGAGCACCGAGCACAATAGCAGGCATTCAATCCGCTTTTATTGTCCTGTGTATACTGCTTTAGTGTCTGTGTAACAAACGACTGTGCAGGTTTGAACAGGCGCACGTGTTTGAAAGCTTGGCCTATAGGAAGTGGCACTATTAGGAAGTGTAGCCTTATTGAAGTAGGTGTGGCCTTGTTGGAGACAGTGTGACACTGTGTGGGCGAGGCTTTGAGGTCTTCTATGCTC